TTATTTTCAGTGGTTATCGTGAGTTTATGACAATAATGTTACCAAGATCACTGCATCGTTTGTTGGGAATGTCCAATACTGATACAAATGATTATTTCGTGAATATTATTCGCAATGTTATTTCAAAGCGACGTCAAACCCCTGATGAAAGGCACGACGATTTTATTCAACTATTCCTGGAGGCACGGCTTATTGACGAATTGGATAAAGGTCAATATTTATATTTCACTAACAAATAACTTATTTATCAAATAAGTTACTTTGATTTATGAAGTTTTTCTATATAAAAATTAACGTTAAACCAATAAACGTTTGACCGAAAATGAAATGATAGCCAATGCGTACGGATTTCTATTGGCTGCAAATCAGACCACTTGTATCGCACTGTCCTATTGTCTACACGAGTTGGCCCTCAATCCGGACGTCCAACAGAAACTATACGACGAGATAAACCGTGCCATCGATTCCGACGGACAGATACCGTACTACAGTGTGTTGGCACGACTACCCAATTTGGATGCCGTCTTATCGGAGACATTGCGCCGACATTTAGCTGTTATGCCGATCTCACGGATCGCAGCCATTGACTACTCACTTGGCGACACCGGTATCACCATTAAGGCCGGTCAACAAATTGAAATACCCATCTATTCCATACACAATTCCGATAAGTATTTTGTTGATCCACATCGCTTTAACCCGGATAGGTTTTTGGTAGAAAATCGCCGTACCATTGAGCCATATACTTTATTGCCATTCATTAGTGGCTCTAGAAATTGCGTGGGAAAGCGATTCGCCATTTTGAAAATCAAGATGTCCCTTGCTCAATTGATTAGAAACTATCGCTTCAGTAGGTGTCCTGAAACTGATGATCAGATTCGGTACCAGAAATTCATTCACTTTATGCTTCCCGAGAGGCTATTCGTTGGAATGGAAGCAAGAATTTAGTAATTTAATAGAAGCTTAAAATATAAGTAGCATGGACAATTACATATGGTATTCGTATAGAAAAGTGGCATATGTGTGCGTCTATTGTTTATTTTTATTGACTTTTAATGCTGAATTATATTAAATTTATTCTAGATACAATATTCAAATATTACCGTTGTTGTACATTTATATCTTTATTTTAAATATACAATGTATTTGTTTTTCTCAAATGTATTCTTTAAATAAATTATACCAATTAATTAAATTATATTAAAATTATTATTACATTTATCAAATTAAGATATAGTATAAATAAAGAATTATAAAAGTTAGTAACATGCACAGTTAATAATATTATTAGAATTACAATATGAAATTATTTTAAATACATACAATTCGCTGGAAATAAATGTATCAAATAAATATAGACAGACATTACAAAAATAACACTGTATTTTAATTATATTAAAAATATCAACGATTAAATTTTAATTATTATTTATTGCATAATGTACTAAATTACAAACAAATACAATCATAATGTAAACTAATCTCGGTTAATGATCAAGAGTGCTGCTGCCATTTTAAGATAACATTATAATAGCCAGTGACTTACAAAATTTAGGGGCATGTACTAGTGTTAAAATTATAATAATGTTAAAATGTTATAATTTGTATTAAGTTTAAAATTATTATTATATATATCAAATTCAGGTATAAATGATGAATTATAAAAGTAAGTAACATGCACAGTTAATAACGTTATTAGAATTACAATATGAAATAATTTTAAATACATACAATTAGCTAGAAATAAATGGATCAAATAAATATAGACTGAATAACACTGTATTTTAATTATATTAAATTTTAATTATTAATTATTGCATAATGTACTAAATTAAAAACAAATACAATCATAATGTAAACTAATCTCGGTTAATGATCACGAGTGCTGCCATTGTAAGATAACATAATAATAGCCAGTGACTTACAAAATTTAGGGGCATGTACTAGTGTTAAAATTATAATAATGTTAAAATGTAATAATTTGTATTAAGTGGAACTCACTGGTAACAACATAATATATCGTTAATTAAATTAAGATAGCTAATAACATCATTAATCAGATTAATTATAATTATCCCTTTTCTGAATTATTACAGACGCACTTATCGGAAGTGTTTGATGAATAAACTTCTCATATCTTATGGGAACGTCTGTTTGTGGGCATCGTAGGAATCGGTAGCGCAATACGATATGAGCAAGGGCCAATTTGATTTCGAATAGCGCGAAACGCATACCCACGCAATGTCGAGGTCCCGCCCCAAACGGCAAATACGTGTACGGCCTAATCAA